TTTGAATTTAGTTGCGAAATATCGTGAACTGATTTAAGTTAGAAATGTAAACGGCTGGGTGTCTATTCAGTAGCCTAAAGTTCATGAGTTCATCGCAAAACCTGAAGGTCACGTGTAGTTAGAAAAATTGTGTAAACTTATTTGTTTATAAACAATTCTTCAACACAAAATAAAAACGAAACCACTTTGTTGAACAAATTAAAATGTTTTTTCTAATTAATTTTCATTAATCAATGTCATTTAGGTGTTTTTTCTTATCTTTAAACCTTTAACAAAATCTAAAATTTCGAAAAGTTCATAAGACGAAATACGTTTTGTTGATTTTAGCAATATACACTATGTATGCAATATAATAAGTACTAATTCACATGAATATACTCCTCTGTGATTTTGACCATTGATTTAATAAAACAGAGTACTTTTCGTAACATAGGTTAGGTCTAATAAACGATGACAAAATTGATTATCTTTTTCTAATCGATTCACTTCTCATCGACCCTACATTTTGTTGAGTGTTTTATGAAATGACATTTTTAAAGTTATTTATAGCAAAACAAATAACTGTGAGGAAAAGCAGTCGTTGAAATAACTTGCGTAATTGAGATCATAAATCGATGAGTGTTAGACCACCACTGAAGACCTTGAAGCATTGGATGGCCGTTGGGTCCTCGTACGGGACTCCTGAGCAGTGCGCATTCACGATCCGCATGCGGGACTCGAACCCAGGATCTAAGGTCTCGCGCATGAACGCTTAACCTCTAGACCACTGATGCTCAGTGCTGAGGAGTCCCATACTAGGACAAGATGGCCGTCCAGTGCTCCCAGATTTTCAGTGTTGGTCTAATATTCATTGCATTATGATCTCAATCATAAACTCAACAATTTCCACAACCACATGCTGATAACTTTTGTATAAGTTTGGAGCATTTGATTGGACGATTAGTTAATCACTGATTGGTAACCAAGGTCGTGTTTTCCTAGTTCTTTAGTGCTGATTGAATTCTACCAATCGAATTGCAGTGTGGTCTGTATTCTAATTGACACGGTATGCGTGGGTCTATTCGAGATGATAGGTGGTTGGAGATAGTTCACAGAAAACCTTGGAATTGAGTTTCGTGTTCATTGTCGCTCGTCGGTAAATTACACCTTCTGTCTTGAAGGAATCAATCCTTCCTGTAGGATTCGAAACTGCGTCACGTATTTTTTACATCCTGTGACACTATCACTACTCTGAATATTTCTTAACACTAAAAAACTTTGTTTTATTTAGTTTTCAATGAGCCACCAAAATAAACAAGATCAAGGTTCATCTCAAATCTTATTAATGAACAAGTTGACTGAAATTGACAATATGGAAACCACTGGGCTTCACTTTTGTTACGTAAAGGTATTTTTTGTCACAATGCCTTAGGATTCTCAGGTTTATAAGAGGCGAACGATGGAGAGTCTAGGACAATATGGTATATCAACGTCATAACAGCTTGGTAAACCTATTGAGAGTCAAAATGATGAAACCATAGATTACTCGCAGTCATATCAGTTAGTTATTAAATATCTGACGGATTTAAATTTTTAATTTCTTAAACTCTAAATTTTGTCCATTATGAAGGTGTTTCATAAGCAAATAGATCAGAAAAGTAAGATCTCAAGATTTCCGAAGTATATAGTAACTATAGTTAAAATGAATTACAAAAAATTTATTCTCTTAGCTTATTGATCACGATACGAATATTGTAGGTAGTATTTTGATGACATTAACGACTAGACATGTAAGACTGGTTAATATAGATTGATAGATTTGTAGTAATTGTACTACTTAAAATTCATAAGCCTAATAAAGGGATGCTTTCGTTTTTATGTAATTAAATCTAAAATAAAACTGTCATTTCAAAGACTACGCTAAATGCTGAATTACCATCTTTTCAGTCGATTTCCTTGAAATTAACATTTGAACAGATTTATTCAAATTCTACTCACTATTTAATCTTACTAATAAATATTCAATTATGCACACTCATAACTAGCACAAATAAGGCAAAAATTGTAATGATTAGAATGCTATATGCTTTTATTCTATGAATAAACAAACAAACACTAAAAGCAAACACTTTTTTAGATATCTGACAGTGGAGTTACAAATATAACATTTGACAATTTTCCAGAACATAAATACTTAGCATAATAATTTAGTCATCTATATGTTTTTATATTTCTATAAACAGCTTTCTTATAAGTCCTCCTAAAAACAAAATATTGAAAATCTTACATATTTTTTTTAATTTTTGTTTATTGATTAGCATTGAATCTAATTTTTTTTGTAAACACTCTAAACACTTCTTCTTTTCGTGAACTTATGTGAGACTAGCTTCGTTATGTTTGAAAACCAGGACAACCATTTTGTAATCATCAGTTGTCTCCAGTGATGACAACAAAAATGAAATATAATTCCTCACTTCATGTTGTATACGAATATTTAGGCTGATCACATTGTGGGTTGTTAGTAATAAATGTCAAATACGAAATGTATTGAAAAAATCAATTTCAAGCATTTATATGCAAGCGGAAGACAAACACTGAGTGAATAGATAAAACTTTGGAGTTGGTAACTCATTAACTTAAGATAGCTAAGCTACAGCATTAATAAAAATATTTCAGATACTATATTATATTGTCAAGATATCTTTTATGCAGTTGTATGTATTTAAATGAACTGACTTTTCATTGTGCTCTGTTTTACACAAATAAATAGCACTAATACATTGTAAGTATTGTTTTTATTCCATTTTTAAAAAAATATGAACTGATACCAAGATACGAATAAAGATAGTCGTGAAATAACGGTCAGTTAAATAACCAACCTTTAAAACTGTACTAAAAATAGTAATAACTCTTTTTGATCAAATGAAAAATGAGGAAAAAACTCTGAAAGTATTTGAAATAATAGCATTAAGGAGAAAGCATTCGGTTTTTTAATCCAAAACAACACATTTAATGTGTAGCATCGCATCGACTCCATTATGATGATGAATGGTGAAATATAAAATTATTTACTTCATATACACTCTATCGACTTATCACGTTCATACAACATGGATAAAAAAAATTCGAATATTAGTCTCATTTGGGATAGATATATTTCATGTTTCTAAATATTAAACACCAGACAAGCAATGTTATGCAGTTAGTGTGTAAAGCACTGGAATTCGATAGTACACCAATACAGAGAATATTAAGCTGACTCCATTTTATAAGCCATGTAAAAATACAAGAAAGGAGATAAATGCACAGAAGCACACATGTATAAAAATTCCTTCAGGTTACAAGTGAACTATTAACAGAACCAAACTTACGAAATAACCAATAATATCAAAACGGTTTGTCTGTTCAAAAATTAGGATAAACTCATGTCGTCGCTATAAGGGCAAGGTTACTTTACTTGTAAAATAATATGTGATGAAAAGCGTCAAGGTGAATTATTCACGCGGTTTGATTTGTATTACTTTATAAGTCAGTACGTTTAACAAGTGAATTTAGATTGAATACATATATAATAATCAGGTCAGCTTCATGTTTAATAATGAACTATTAGAGGTGACCATTGATTAAATGGCGAAATAAGAGATTCTACTTGATATACAAAGAAATTTACAGAAAATGAAATTAAGTAAAACTTTCGATACCAAATACTTCGAGAATAAATCAGGTCAGATTGATGTCTCAAAAGCTTTACCAATAATAAATGGTGGAAAGGATTTCAAAATTAAATTGTTGCTTAGAAATTATTTCTATGATAGGTATACTCTGGGATCAATGTGTCCTACAATGAATCCGAAGTCATTCTCCTAAGTTTCTAATTACTTAATTTTTGCTATATTTTAAAATTTCCTATCATTTAATTTTAAAACAAACAAGAATTTCATCATAGCTGACATCGAATCAATGGGATCCAGTCGGAATCTACTACACATTTCGTAAACACCCAAACATTCATTAATGACAGTAGTTGTTTGATATGATTTGATTAATAAATAAGAAGCTTTTGTTTCCCTAAAAAATGCATTATTTCGCAGTAGGAGGCTGTCTCTAGTACTTATAATTTGAAAAATATTCACTGTAGAACATATCATTCGAATAGTTCTTCTATGCTTTACATTTTACAATGAAAATACTTAACAAATTTTAAAAAATAGATCTCTACTGATTATTTGTATTACATGTTGGCTCTGTTGGATATAACCACAGAAACCAAGTTGTACTGAACAGGTGTTACATTCTTACTTGAAAATCCCTCAACAAAGTACAATATTACCCAATAAAATATTGAACCTAGGATCTTTAGATCACATAGCCTGCAAGATATTTTTCAGGTGAATAGTGATATATATTTAAGTTGCATAAGAGTAAATGTTCAACGGCTGTTTCAAGCCACAATAAGAGTAAAAGTAACATCTTTAACTGAAAAACAGAATAAATAAAATGACACATTAACAGCAATACAAATTTTCCTCTATTTTGATTAAAATCCTTTGTATTACACAACTACAGTTACTAGTGACGATAAACAGTGGTTAAGCGATGACAAATATACAAAACACTAATAACATTTTTGGGAATCTTTCAAAACATTAAACAAACATTTGAGAATTAATAGTTTGCACTCATTTACTATTTAAGGGGTAATACATATAATTTATAAATCCAAAGTTAACATATCAACCTTTCAGTTTAAGTGTATACAATGTACCTTAAACTCATATTAGAAGAAATGAAATAAAAATGTTTCATTTTCGTTCTTATTTTGTAGTTTTTTCTCATTTTTTGTCGAAATTCTCTTCCCATATTTGTCCGTCCTTGTCATTTTAAACTTATAATCTTACACATATTTGTATTTACTCTCTTACAATGCTTTTCGTATTGTATAATACAAATATTTACTTCTCAGTATTTTAAAATTATTATCAACTTATAAAAATCTCAGAATTTTCTAGTTTAAATTAGATTGCAATTTCAATATTTCTTGACAGACTCTTCATCTTTTAATTTTCAAAGAGGAATATTTTGTTAACATTGAAGTTCTTGATTCGTTGAATCTTGCGAAATGAATTAACTGTATGATATTTCTGTTCAGATGACTCTGTTTGCAGACCATTCTAGTTCACTCATGATGTTGTGATATTATAACAAAAATGTTATGCAAAATACATGACGAACTAATTTTCTTAAAAATTCCTCACTACTAGTAGTCTTCAAATTATGGTAAGATAGAATTAGATGATAAAAATCAAAATGAAGAAGGCATTATCTTGTGTGACGCTCACGGCCGCTGATGAAATAGTGGCACTGCTTTCTACATTTTTTAATAACTTACGACTGAATTGTCTTAAAATGACAGTCCAAGCAAAAACAGCAAACTTAATATCTAGAGCAGTAGACTTTCCATCTATGGGTTGCAGGTTTAGACCCTAATTAGCCTCATTCGCCTCGAATAACCGAACAGACTTTCAAGCTCTAACAAGTAAAACTTATCTCGGGGTACCTGGATTTGTAATTGGTAAGTCTCATTAAACGAAATAATACTTAGAAAGTTTGATAACCACAAGCAAACATTATCGACAAAACTAAACGAAAAATAATAAACAATTTAGTTTAAAATTCACCCATAACATCGTTTCGTGATTAAAATAAATGTTTGATAAAAAGCTTGTGGTCCGACAAGTTTTCCATTAGAAATATTTTGATGACTTCTATGTTCTGAATGAGTAGTATTGTATTTAACTGTTATCCATGTTCTGCGAAAATTAACCAAATTTTACCCTTCTGAGAAATAATTACTTAATAAGTTCATTGTACAACCCATATATGGATAAATTTTAATATAGTTTCTATCATTTTAGTTCTAAAATGAGAATAAAAAGTTCACTTATTTATAAACTAAATATGAATAGCAGATGAAATTCCAAAAAGAACACCATGTAATTCCTTAAGCTAATACCGAAAAATACTCGTTATATTGATCAGTCAACATGATATTAAAAAGTGAACCATCATCTTCAAGTAGCTAAATTAAGTTTATATGCTGATATTGTTAGAAACATTTACTGCCGTATAAAACATTATGCTTGAAGCAATTTTAGTCATTGAAATTTAAATGATTTCAGAGTTTCACTAGGTAGATTGATCTCGATTTTTTCAAATAACTACTTAAATTCTGATAGCTGAGACTATTTTGATTATATTTTTTACATAGTTTCCTCTGTATATCCGGTGTTTAAATCTCATTAGACTGCTTTTTTTATTTTGATGAATTTTCAGAGAATATACACCTGCTTGTAATAATCCTGGTTATGCCTGCCTCCTAATATCTGGATTAGTCGGTTGTACCAATCTTTACCACTCGATGCTGAATGTAAAATAAGTCCCGTTAGAAAATTCCGAACAAAATAATTGGTCTTCCATTATTATTGTTGTTATTATTATTACTATCGCTATTATTATTGATCGTGGTCTAAGGTCACCATCCAGGTTTTAATTGTACAACAAACGAAAAAACAATCAAACATAAAATGAGACAAAAACAAACACTTAACAGAATTTGAGGTCAACATAGGACTTCTTTAAATAAGATAGACAATAATTTCTGCACTAGGATGCCCCACAACACTTGAAAAAACACTTAACTGATAGAACGCGTACATTAAGATTATTACAACTTAATAAAGCAGTGACCATTTTGTGTGGTTTTTGTGGCACAAACTTGTTCATACGTTTATTCTGCACTTTGAATTAGAAGTTAGCTGAAGAAAAGCGTTATCAGTTCCGTTACATAATACTGAAAGTAAAAATCAGACTATGATTGTTCGTCAGGGTTTTTAATTTCTCTTGATCACATCTAAGACTGAAATAAGATCAGTTTTTATCGTCAAATAATAAGCTTAGGCAAATAACCCGGTTTCAATGCAGAATTATGTTATAGTGTATTTTGGATTGCAGCCAGTATTCGAACTCAGGGCTTGCTGTTATCCTTATTCGATGGATCGTTAGATAGTTAAAATTGCATCTCGGTGTTGATGTTCACACTTAGACCTTATTTCGTGCTCATTACTTAAAGCCATTTCATGTAATTTACTAAATTAATAAATCCTAATAGCCACCAACTTGTTTGTATGGTGTGACCATGATTTTTGTTGGTTTACCAGCCGAATTCCATGGTATCCCAAATATTGTGATATGGAAAATAATATTCCTTATGCGTTAAAAGGTCTAGAAAAAGTCACTGACGCACCAATGCTACAACCAGTTCTTTCTGATCAAATATGAACTTGAGTTTTTACTGTAAAATCTTGGAGAAAAATATTAGCACATAAGACGTAATTATTAAGTTGATATTTTAGTGTACTGGATTTGTTTTGCACTTTTTACTGCAGTATTGAATTAGGCAGGCCGTTAGCACCATGTAATAAGACACATTACAAAACCTTCTTAATGAAGGTTTGTAATAAGGTTTTAACGATTACACCACTTTTTCAACTGATCTACAAACCATTTTGGTTTTGTATGCTGATTCACAATGTCTTCCAAAATTACACAAGGCTTTTGAGTGAACATGTCACCAAAGTTCACATAAAATGTGATTTATTATCAAATAATGGATTAGAAATTTTTCTCAACTAGTTAAGTAATCATGTAATGACGTCTCCTTACTCAGAAAACTATTTAACTTTCAATCAAGGACATAATTCTGTTGGAGACGTATAAATTAAATATCTATTATTTAAAATATTGACGACCAAATAAAAAGTATTATCCATGGTTGTTGAGGATGATCTAACAGTAAATACTTTTGTAAAGCACAGTTAAAGCAGACCCTTGTGACTTTGAGAATAGCTAGAGCTCCGTGTAAATTATAGTTGACTTTATAAATTCAATTCAAAATATATTACTAAATACTTGAATGCTTTTATGGCTTTCTCAATCTTTAGCTTTACAAAAAATCAAGATTTTTGAAACGCCCTGCTATTTGATTAATATTTTCAGAGTATCCCAGCAAATGAATAAATGTTCTTCTTTCTGGCTTTCAGTCCAGTTTTTTATGTAAAGACTAATGATTCTAACTAGTCACTTAAATGTTGTCTATTACGGTATAAAACAGTGATTTAAGGTCATGTGTCATAGCCATAAGCCCACAGCTATCCATCTATTATTCTTAAGTAGCGTTTTTGTCTTCAAAAGTAACCAAATGTCACCTAAATTATGTATATATTTTGGAAGGTAAATAACCTGAATTAAGTAGGATTGTTACTTTGTCGTGTTTGTTACTACTAGTTAGATCAGTAGATCTTCACGTTACCTGATGTCATTCACCAGCAGTTTTAGTCTCGGCAGCGAACGTCGAAATAGTTACTCACCATAAGAGAATAGATTCATAAAACCTAATACTTCTAAATCCATTGACGTGTATATTTACCCATGAAAAATACATTTATCTAGACCAACTTCTACGTTGCCTATCGATTAGTCAGAGTTAATATAGAAATCCTGCCCCTCATTCTATTACACAAAATTAAAGATAATTTACGAGCAAAAAAAAGAAGTCTTATCCGTCAAAAAGTAATTCATTAGCGTCACAAATTTTTTACTGACTAAAATAGTAATATGTCACACAGCTAATTTTACGAAAATAGCAGGATCTTACAATCACGGAACCAAAAATTGAGGCTTTTCAAGTCACATAGTTTTCGTAAGGATTGGCTTACTTCGTCCGCCCTTATGTCTGATCAATGTTTACGCTTATGATACATTCAACTATATCTAACTATATTTAGGTCATTACGTGGAAATTTTCAGAATGTCTTGTGTCTAGTCCCTCGTCAGTAAGAGGGATAAGCCGGTTTAAATATTGAGCAGTAAATGATTTTATCTTAATTCATAACTTATATACCACCAGTGTTATTCGTAATCTGAATTTTTAAATTCACAATAGAATTACAAAAAAGGCTCACAATTGATGATTCATAACAACACGAGATTTTCAGTAAAAAAACACCTCTAGTGACCAAGACAAAATATATAGGTTCAAACCAACTTTGAATTAGATGATTAAGAACTCAAAGTTGACGAGAAATAATACAATAAGATGAAAATTATGACAAACAAATTCTGAAAACGTACTTACATCGATTTGTTCCTGTTTAGCCGGACAGGACTTTAGCTTTTCCTAGGCAAAACAATTTAGTTCAAAACATATATTCAATCACTTTCAAATTTCGCACTTTCTCATCATTTGTCTTAAGATCACTTATTTCATCCAGATCGATATCACAATCGTAGTCATCGACCTTCAAGACAGAGCATGTCAAAAATTTCACACTGACCTCTGTGCAATAGAGATTACGAAGATGTTCGAAAACAAAATTTTCAAGACGAATCTTTTCGCTAATTTTTTGACGAGTCCTCCTATCGTATTTTGCAGTCAAATAACGTTTACGTTTCGAATGATCTGCAGGGGCATCAGTGACGAAAACCACCTCCCGGTTTTCTCCTTTTTCAGAAAACCCGTCACTGCTTCCGCTCACTTCCTTGCCTAAATTCATTACTTCAATCCATTTACGTAGGTATAGCGATAACATAAAACGAATACGAAATGCTTGAAGGCTTGTACAAAACGTTTTGAAGTAATAAAACAAAATACAATGTACAACAAATTAATGCGTAAATGGGGGCGGTCATTTTGTATTTTTACGCTAAATGTAGTCTTTCAGAGGGTTGCAACAGATTCCGTCATGCTTTTTTTGTTCACTACTATAACTAAGTCGACTAGTTATTTTATAAGATGTAATTACGAACACCTCAGCGATGAATTTGTTTGAACCATGTGTTTTCGCTGTATTCGCTTGTTCTTGATCATTGATAACTTAGTGGATGTGTGCGAAGAGACGTCTAAAACAAAATTTATGTCAGTCTTATAGAAGGAAAAGCATAGCAACGTTTTTATATACTATGTAATTAACTATTAGGTGGACAAAACAAATGGCTAAGTATCAAAAGCAGTCTGACAGCGTGAAGTAAATTTCAAGGTACTTTAGCGCATTTAGAGAGATGTGCTAAAACGTATATAAAAATCATTTAGGAAGAAGACAAATGCACATCTTATTGCAAAATGTACAGTGATTTATACAATCCGACTGTTTAGGTAAGCTATCGGGAATTTAGCCAGAGGTTATTAGTAGTTTTCAAATACATTTTTACATTCAGTTTGCTGGATAAACGTTTTTACAAAGGAACTAATACAGACACTGAAATCTGATTGTGGAGAACACTCATTGGATGGTTGTAGTAGGGACGCCTCTTAAAACTCTGAGTTATTTTCATCGTCTGTTCCAGACTTTAGATGTCGATTCGCAACAATAATAATGATGACCTCAGATGATTCACCACACACCCTGATAACTGCCTACAGCACTCTCCGCAATACAGTGTAGTCTCCTCTCAAAAGCCCGGGTACAACAATAGAGAACAGTAAAGAACAATACTCATTATGTAAGAATTGATAAATTGTAAGAGTAAATATCGGGTAATCCCAGCTTCTTTATGTAGCACGTCAGACGGAAAACTTTAATCGATAACAGTAAAACATGAGATCAGGAGAGATCAGAGGAAAAAGCCACACCAAAATAAATGACTTTGGACACTGTGTTTATTAAAGAATCTTCAATAATAGGAGCATTATGGAACCCCAACATGGTGTTTATCTGTTCAAGCCTCAGGCTAAAGTTAACAGTTTGACATTTAAACGGATAAAGTATACGACCAATAATAACAGACCACTATTCAATATGAGACAAAAGCTCAATAATTTCTTTGGAGTGTAACAAGGTAAACATTGTATACATACATTGGGATCGTCTGCATATTTCACAAAAGTTTTTTCTCTGGAAGATGGCAGATCATGCAGAAAAAAAGAAAAAGAGAGATGAACGAATAGCTCCTTGTGGTGCGCCTTCATTAGACAGTGATACGAAACATACTTTTCAAATTTTTGATATCTTCTGAGCGATTCCTGTGTTTTATTTTCTTTATTTTATGTAAGAGCATACACTTTCCAAGCTTGCTACATACTACAGGTAGAATAAGAATTGTACAAACGGTTACGATAGAACAAAATAACATCGGTACAAAGTTAGTGTGAGTTCCTTCTTGTTTATTCTTTATCAGCTTCTTACTCTCTTGTACACTATGTTGCCTTGCCATTAATATTATGTCATCACTCGTTTCCTTACCTTATCTGTAACTAATACATATCTACACTTTTCCACCTACTTTGGTAAACAACTATTCTACATTATAACCTACTTAATGCCTATACTCTGATTGACAATCAATACTTCACGTTATAGTCAATCAAAGCACTGCATCGAAACCATTCCCACAGTCCATAATTTGTAATTATCTGATGAGCTTGTAAAATGGTACTTATAGAAATGGTGTTTTCCAACAGGATGTGAAAGACAGCATTGTGTGAGGCAGGATATATGTCCAAAAAAAGAAGTCTAAATGAGCCTAACATCACAAAGGAGAAAGGGTAGAGTTACTGACCAGCAAGCATTGATAATAATAATAATAATATATTCTGAAAATAATATTTACAGAATTCACACCAGTTTACAGGCATGATCAGATTGTTATAAAAATCAACATTTAATGTAGAGAACAAACATGAATTATAAGAAGGTTTTATGTTTGCTGGTTTAGTAATTGATAAATAGTTTAAATATGGCATATGTCACGGCAAGCCAATGCAACACCAGGGAACTTGTCATTTTTTCATCAAGTGGACAGCCTGATGATTGACCAACATTATTCTGTAAGGTTGTTACCAGTGCCAGAGCGAGTTATTATTAATTATCTACAACTAGAGAAAGTAAGATTAAAGCAAAGAGCATGGAACAACAAAACAATGATAGCAAGTAAGAGGTTAAACATTTAAAGTTCCTATAATCTCACTTGTGGAGTAAGATACACTTGCAGGCGCTAGAGCATTTAATGCATTTTCAGAGGAGCAAAAAGCATTAATTGACCGAACAAACAATGGGAGAGAGTCTAACATACGGATAGTTTGGGGTAAATTATTCCATAGTCTAGAAAACTTACAGGTAAAGTAATTCATATAGAGAGAAGACCTAGAATATGTTTGTTTCGCTAAAGACAAGGAGTTACGAATGTCGTAATGTGGAGCTTTAGCATATTGAATCGCCTGACTAGATGTGAAGGAGAGTTTGTTAAGTATATTTTGAAAAAGAAGACAAGGTTAAGTTTGAGTCTCCTCTTCCATAAAGGGTCAAGCCCTAGTTTACTACACCTCGAATTATATGTCAAGACACTATCAGTTCCAAGAGTATGAAGTGTAGATCGCTTCTGTACTGATTCCAGTCTTAATTTATCCTTTATGCGCGTGCTACTAAGGAGAAACGCGTAGTATTCGAGGAGTGGTCGAACACAGACTTTGTTCATTAATATACGAGATTCGCTGTTATGAAGGTTTCGAGCTATGAAACCTATAAGGCGTTGAGACTTGGAAGTTTGTTTCATTATCTGTTCAGTAAACGACAAGTCGTCAGAGTACCTAAGTCCTAGATCTACTAGTGAGTGTAACGTAGATAAGATTTCACCATTTATGGTAAGATTGAGGTTGAGTGATGTATCCTCGAAGCATAACCAACCACATTTAGCTGTATTGAGCTCCAGTTGCCATTTCGAGCACCACTGTGCTACCTTGTTAAGCTCCGTGCTGATACAATTTTGAATATTGCTCAGCTCATGTGGAGAAAATGAGTACACCACCTTAAGATCGTCTGCAAACAAAAGGGACTTACCCACACTAAAACACTCACAAATATCATTAATGAAAACTAAAGAGAGCAAAGGACCTAAGACACTACCCCGAATTAACCCACTTCTAACAGGGACTGCGTTCGACAATGAAGAGTTGAGTTTAACTATTTGATGTCGAGTGCTGAGGAAGTAATCAAGCCAGGCTAGTAACGGATTTTCGACCCCATAAGATGCGAGTTTACCTATGAGAAGTTGGTGGTTGACCATGTCGAAGGCCTTAGAAATGTCCAGGTATAGCACTAATACTAGATATCCTTGGCTACGAAGCGAATAGACTAAATTAAAGAAGTCAAAATGACATGTAATACAAGATCGATTTTTAAGAAATCCATGTTGCGAATCACCACTAAATTGTTCAGATCAAAGCTCCACATATTTTTGTTAGAATTCTGGTCGTGCTAAGTGTTTATGCAATACATTTTTTAATTTTGCAGTTGTTATAAAGCAGATCTGTAGAGCGCTCGTTACGAACTATAGCCTTGAGGAAGCGCGCACGTCAAGTTTGTTCCAAACGTCAAAAGTTCCATAGCTGTGCCCTCAGAGCGGGATACCGAAAAAAAGAGGAACAAAGGAGCAGCAGGGCATTTGGATATGAACGCTAGGTAATGCTTAACATTTTGTGGTGGAACAGAGAGAGTTATGATAAATTAATAGATTATTTTCATACTAGCTCTTATCGCTTAGGCAAAGTAGGGTTAGAGCCTCCAGATGAGAACATGCAGTAACAAAGAACAATGAGTTATGATATTTATCAAGGTAGAGTAAGTTCAAATGGTGGAATGAAAGTCAGAGTTAAAAAAGGAAGACAGTTTATTAGAACGGAACGTGCATCAAAAGAGTAATGCCTTAAGGAAACAAACAACGATATATTTTAATGTCTGGTGTTTATTTAGTAAGTTTACTTTCATCCAATACCAACCACATATCAGTTCCATAGCACAAAAGTTTCAGATAACTGGTCGACGATCTGCGGCACCGATATAATTTCAAACCATTGATGAAGATTTTATGAGCTCTTAAAATTTTAGTTTTTGGAAACTTCAACATGGCTGAGCTTTTGGAAAGGTTTTCCAACTCATTGAGCAAAGCTGAGCAAGCGATTAAGAATGACTGTCCTGACAAACTCCGAGATGTATTGAGAAACGAAGGGACTGCGTTTACAAGTGATTTAGTAACAGAGGAAAGTCTTGTTAATCATCAAATACGTGAGAACCTACTTCATGTATGTCCATGCCACGTTTTTGACGCGATGTACACAACTCTACTTTTGTCAAAATAACTCATGCTTTATTTTTGTTGCCCCCAAATGCCCTGGTACGGCCGAGAGTGGGGAGAGTCTACTCTCCCTCTCGAAATGCTCTCATATGGCCAGCGAATATATAGCCTCTGCCAGGGAAGTCCTACTCACTGCCTTCTCGTGGCGGGGGTGTTGTTTACGAAAGTGAGAGGACGAAAAGCGAATGTCCGGAGCTTTAACCGGATTGGTGGACACGGAGGGTCCACCTAGGGGAGTTGGAAAACCCTGATTCCAAACCAATGGTGCACATGGGCTCCAGTATCCTGATGGAACGAATGGCGGAAGAACCTGTCATTGGTCAACGGCTACCATGGGACTGCATCTCCTCACGATGCTCCACTGCCTTGTGGATCAGACCTTTAGGTCAAAGGCTCGGGGTGTGGTCCCCTAAGAAAACCACCTGCTTCGGTTTGGGCACCCGGGCAGTATCACAGCCCACAC